AAAAAAAAAAAAAAAAGCAACAGCCTATAAACCAAGAGGTGGCGAGTGGTGAGTGCTGTCCTGGCTCTTCCCCGCCTTGGAAGGAAGTGAAAGCAAAGCAGAGAGGGGATGTGAATGTGAAACAGGGTAACATCTGGTTTAACAGAGAGGGACTGTGGTCTGGTGAGTAACGAGCCGGAATGAGAGTCGGGAGCCTGGCGCTGGTGACCAATGTCCTGTCACTGCTCCGTGCCTCAGTTTCCCCATCCATGGAAAGAAGAGGGTCAGTCTGGTCTTGGCAGAGTGCTCTGTGAGCTGGGGAGGGCCGGACAGGAGCAGGGTCCTTTCGGTTTCCTTCTGAAGCTTCCCATTTGGGCATTGTCCCGCCTGCCCCTTTGGATATCGGGGCGTGGTGATGTTAAAAAACCGCTGTCGGTATTTCTGACGGGTGGGAAAACCTGCAGGAAGTCCCCTGGTACGCGCACAGCTGTGCTGACAAAGCTCACCCTCCTTAGAATCCAGATTTTGTTCCAAAGATGATTTCAACCCCTGTCAAAAGCAAATTGTCAGTGGAGAATCAGATCTGGAAAGCTCTTCCCTTCCACATCCCGTTCCTGGAGCTTGACCCGTGCTGGAAATGGGAGGATTTCTCCTGGTGGCTCACGCGCAGTCTCTGAACAGCCAGAAGAGGTGCGAGCGTGGGTCTGGTGGTGCTGCCCGCCGGTGCCACCGCAGTGCCCGCTCCGGGCCCGCCCGCTCCTGGGCGTCAGTTAAAGCTGAGCGGTAGAGCCGGGCCGGGGCAGCTGGCGGCTGGTGCTGTGAGACGTGCCGCGGCCCCGGCGCGCCAGCGGAGAGGTCGGCGTGGGGGTGAAGGGCGTTAATGCCACGAGGGCCAGGGCAGCGCTGGGGTAACCCGCCCCGCTGGCCTTCTCTCGGTATTTTCACTCCGATTTGGGGCTTTGGCTGATTTCTCAAGGATCACGCGTGGTGGCACCTCCCAGCCCATCCCTCCTCCCCGTGGGACGCTGCAGGTGGGCGCACGCCAGCACCCCCCGATCACAGGGAACACGGCCCCAGCCTCACTGGGTGAGCAGGGAGACCCCAGGAGATGCTTCCTGCTCCAGAAGTGAAACCTGCGCTGGGAAAACAGCAACAACTGCTGCGATACGTAACGCTCCTGATGTGGTTTTGCTCGGCTGGATGATGTGGTTTTGGATTTTAAACCTCCCGAAACCTGGGAGTGAGCGTCTCTGCTCTTCTCGCCCAGCTCGTTCGGGAGCGCAGCGCCTGCGTGGGAGGGAGCTGGGGCTGTCAGACCAGTGGCGCTCGCTGGCATCACCCGCCCGACGGCCGCTCCGAAACGGCTCCTGCTTCTCAGCCCCGGGAACTCCAAGTGAAACGGGGCAGGCAGGCAGGGACAGGGGCTCGGCTGAATGATATTTTAGTGCGTTTCAAAATGAACTGCGTTATAATTGGGGAGTTTTTTATGGTTCTCTTCGGGTGTGGTTGGGGAGTGGGGGAAGCTGCACTCA